TACATATATATCATTATTGCACGAGTGATCACGTTGATAACAAATAATTAGGACAAGTACTTACTCCATAGGTCTGGCAAGTAAGATAGAAAGGCTTGAATACTTGAGCATAAGCTTTCTCTCTTTGATCGATCTCTTGGCCGTAAAGGAACTTAATATCCGGATTGATATCATGCAATATCATTTGATCATCATCACCACCACCAAAGAATCTCTCATGATCATGAGATGATGGCACCGACATCGGCGGCACCAAGGGCGAGGACAACGCCGCCGCGGGTACTGCGGCGTCATTAATGTTGCTATTCCAGTAGAGTAGGGTGAGGACCAAAACTTGATCTTCTGGACCAACCACATCATGAATAGCCTTACAGAGTGGTGCCACGCCTGTGTTCTCTTTGGAGGCCTTGTTTCCCTCCAAAACGACAACAACTTTCTGCTTGGTCTCTCTCTTAATATTCCTAATATTCATGGAGTATACTTCGATCTCAACTCTATTGGCCTGTGTGAACTTACAAATAATGAGACGTATTTCTTCGTTAGTACTAACTTAGTCGAGGTTCTTAAAGTTGCTTTAATCCTAAAAAATTATAAACCATATCATACTTATACTATGTAAACGACAACAACTTTCTGCTTGGTCTCTCTCTTAATATTCCTAATATTCATGGAGTATACTTCGATCTCAACTCTATTGGCCTGTGTGAACTTACAAATAATGAGACGTATTTCTTCGTTAGTACTAACTTAGTCGAGGTTCTTAAAGTTGCTAATCCTAAAAAATTATAAACCATATCATACTTATACTATGTATATTTGTCTGTGTATATCATATATATATATATATATATATATGTTCTTCGAAGTATATATTAGCTACGGTTTCCGTCATAGTTTGCGACGTTCCAACATAGAAATAACCGAAACATTTTTCATTGTTTTGTGAGGAATCGGCGCTTCACGGGGTCAAAAAGTAACACTAGTTGTATTTTAGGTGCAAAATGTAACATCATTTCTTGTTCTTGAATCTCAAATATGTATATATAAATCACGTGTATATATCTGCCTTGCTTACTCATGAATTTCTATGTCATTTTCTCAAGCATTTTATTATTCACTATTTATTTCGTTCCCTTCTTGTCCTGGATTTTACAAAATTATACTTTACGACACGTGAGAAAACATGCCTAGATCACTAGTGGCCGACGAAACATGCATATTTTGGAATTGGCATTTGGCAAATAGCAACCATGAGATGGCATTTGGCACACACACGTATACATATATGTATATTATGAAGAATTTTTAATATTTCTATTATAATACTTATTAAATATAAAAATTCAATGACGTGATGCCACAAAAATAACATTCATTATATCGACACAAAAGTACTTGGATGAAATACAAACACTTGATTTAACAGAGTCAAAAGGGATCTATTTGGGCATAATAGCGTGACAATTTTTTGCTATTTGACATGTCATCACACCAATATTCTGACATGGCAAAAAGTGTAATATTCTATAATTTGATTTGTCAAGTCACGTGTGGTAATTCCAAGCTAGTGCCCTTTAGCCTTTTTTGGGCCTCTATTCAAAAGTAGACTGGGCCGAAGGAACTGTTGGGCCCTTGCTGCTGCAAGGTACTGGGTTTGAGCCCGAATTTGCGACTTTAGCGTTTGCACATACAGAATCAGTTGCTGTGGTAGCGAATTTGGTGCCTCCATAGGACAAGTTGATGTTTGACATCTCAACCACCTCGCAAGGGAACAATGAACTGCACCCTAAAGAGATTGACACTTTTGAAGCTGATGTGCCTTTTATGTTCCTGAAATGAACGTCCTTGATCTTCCACTTTGATGGCTGCTCCCAACAAAAATTAACAAGAAAATGAATTACCATTTTCATAATCGATATTTCATCATTTAGTACGCAAGTAGATACTTGTACTCCATTTGGTTTGAAAGCTGGAAATTATACAATTTGAACCTTTTTGGTATAAATTGCTGAAAAATCATTTTTTTTTTTTTACTATAGCGGAAACGTTCAAATTGTCAAGAGCAAATCATAAATTTGGGGGTTTTTGAATACTGATGGCTCGTTTGGTTAACGCGTTTAAGTCAATAAGTTTGATTCTGAGTTTAAATTTTGTGAGAAAATTATTGGTGTGAATTTTTTTTTATTTAAATTTTTTGTGAAAGAATAATATTTTAGCATAATTAGAATCATAGTTTCAGACACGTGAAACAAACGTGCAGTGAAATTTTTTGTTATGCATGGGTCAAGACCTACCAATCAAACACGATTTTGGTTTTTGAAACTAATTACTGGACTTACTTGGTTTTTGCGACCGTAGTTCTGATCAATGATGATGGGGTTTTTCACATTCTTCATTATAATATTTTCATAGATGATGCCAGTCGCTTCACCTGAAGTTGTCCCACCCCAAGTCTTGATTCTGGCACCATTCGTTGTGTTAACTAATGTGCAGTTTCTTACAACGATGTTGCTGACACCCTTGTCGTAAGACCATTTTCCAAGGCTACCAACACTGTCCCAGAACCACCCAAAAATATGGCACATGATTAGCCCATATAATCATATTCAAAACTAGAAGAGATGTATAAATTTTGAAAAACAATTGAAAATATTGTCAAAATCTACAAGTATAACGGTATCTAATCAACCACATTATAACACATCATTTAAAATATTTGAGATACATTTTAATCGACTTTTTCATGTTTTAATATTTGAACTCTATTCAAGTGGGTGTGAATTACCTAATGCCATGTCCTGGACCACAAGTGACGTTAGTGATGTAGATATTGTGGCAGTCTTGAACTATGCCAATGCAGTCATCACCGGTTGCAATGGCGGTATTAGTAACATTGACAGAAGTCGAAGCGCTTATATGAATGCCGTCGGTGTTTGGGCTTTCAGCTGGAGCGGTTATCTTAACATTATTGAGAGTAATGTTTTTGCTCTCATAAATGAAAAAGTGGAACCATTTGCTGTTCAAGGATGTGATCCCCTCAACATATGCGTTGTTCACATTACTAAACCTCAGTGACTGCAATACATAAAAAAGAAATCCAATTATTATTACAACATTAATTTTTTTTACGTGATCATTAATCATTAGTTTGTTGTTATATTTATTTTAAGGATTATTTCACTTGTGTCTGTAAATTTCGATGTCATTCTCACTTTACTTTTTGACTTTTAAAATCTCTCATTTCACTCTTAATAAATTGTGAATTAGTCTCATTTAACTCCATCTTTTAGAATTTTCGTTAAGAACATACAAAGATAGAGAGAGTTAAGTGAGATCATGATTTTATTGTTACAATTTCTATTAAAAATAAACAGAAAAATGTCATGTGACCACACTCAACCTCCTCTTTTAACTGTTTGTTGTTTTTTCTAAAAATTCTAGTAGATGGATTAACATGGACTCATCCAAAATTCAAGAAATAAAGTTACATTTTTATAGTTTTTGAGAAACAAAATGAGAATGACACTATAATTCTTGAGATATAGGTGAGATGGATCGTTTTTTTTTATTTAAATTTTGATATGATTTTAATATGATCGGACTACTGATTATAAAAATTAAATTATTGCAAGTGCTAGCTTACGGATGCGAGATGTTGGCAGTTGGGGTTTGTCTTGCAGTCATTGTAATGCCAAACCTTCGGCCCTTGGCCGTCGAAAGTTCCTTTGCCGGTGAGAACCAATCCATTGACGAATTCAAAGGAGAACCATTCCGGGGAAGAGTAGTCACTGACGTCGGTCGTGGCCTTCACAGTACCCTGAACCTCAATAACTATTGGCTCCGAGCTTTTACATGGCCCTTGGAACACAACAGGTCCCACCAAAAATGCTCCTGTAGGAATCACAATCTTTGCTGGCGCGTTTGAGTTTCTGCATGCCGCTACCCAAGTCTTCATAAATGCCTTCAATATTATCCATGGACAAGCAATTGGTGTTTAGTATGTTGCATTGCTCAAGTTGTAAATATATATATATATTTTATAAAGCAAACTTGGTTAAGTTATATGTGGCATTTGGAGGTGTACCTAGACCTAAATTGGTGGTTATGGCCAACAGTATATTAACTTATTATAGGCGGGAGGAGATTAACCGAAGATCTATATGTCTATATGATTAATAAAAAAAAAACTGAAAAGGTGCATAAACAAGATTAAGTTTGGAGAATTTTTCACCAAGAAAAATGCAAAGGCGACGCCAATTTTCCTCGGTAATTAACGGCATGTATACATGAATTACCAAAAAGTAAAAGATTTGCGGAAATTTTATAATGACTTGTTCTTATTAACATTTCAAAAATGTCTTACATTAGATGATACAATTACAATTGACGTGTTTGATTATTTAAAAAAAGAACAATATTGCTCAAATATATATGTTTAACTTTTTTTGAGGTATTTTTTTCTCCAACATTTGGTCATATTAGCTCTCTAGATCCCTTCTAGCTACATATAATGTATGGTGAGAGTGTGACATAATTCTATTAATAACGCACATGCAATATGCTTCAAATTGCACCTTAAGCAATAAATTAGTTCCAGCGATGACGACATCCAAGTAGTACTATATATACAAATTAGAAGTTTAAACCTCATCTAATCCAATTAATCCCTAAGCTAGACTAGATATGGGATCAATATAGCAAGCGTTAGTTATCAATAGAAGCAATATATCTCTTGAATGTCTATAGGGCATCAATATTAATTGACTAACCTGTACATTGTCCTTACGCTCATTGTTAGCCACAGCACCATATTTCGTGACATCAAAAATTTGTCGACCTGTTTCTGTGAGGCCACGGCGTAACCCCGTGTCATCGGAAACATGGCCGCGGAATGCACCGGCCGCGCTAGAAATTAGGAAAGCGCAGCACAGGAGCAGAACGGCCTCGAAGTGATCAATTAATCTTCTTCTTTCCATGTCGATCATTTGTGTCTTGTGTTATCAAAACTCTCTATATATTTGTACGATTAATTGATCTTCTAATTCCGTTCTTCATCAAAAATTTTGGAAGTATCATGAGCATGGAGCTTTGACTTTATATTTGGGAGAAATCTCCTGTCCTCCGACCACTCTATCTCTAATTTTAGTAGCTCCTTTCTAACCGAAAAACAAGAATGTGATATTTTTCTCAATTGCTTATTACTCAAGTATGCCTATGTTTGGCCTGCGTTTTCCCCATGTTTAACAAGTTGTTAACTCGCAGTTTAAAAATAGTGAAAGCAAAAGATTCAGGTCTACGTACATTCTACAGTTTTTAGCATGCCTTTTTTGCCATTGAATCTCAACTTAAGCAATTTGTGCCAGCCAAGTGCTCTATTCTTGTCATTGAAATATGCCGAATTAACGCTTGTCCTTTCTAATTATTATGGTCCACTTGCAATTTCCTCTCCTTTTCTCCCTCATCAATAGAGGGGGAAAAAAAGAGAAAGAAATGTGCATGGTTTAACAATTATTATAGTTGCCTTAGACTATCTCAATTTTTCTTTTTTTTTTTTAAAAAAAAGAAGAAATAAAATGTGCATAGTTTATTAATTATGATAATTGTTTTAGACTGTCTCAAATATAAATATCAATGTTAGTGTTATTTTTGGCATAAAAAATGTGAAAAACTGAAAATTACATATTTAATATGCTATTTTATTTTGTACTTTAATGAATATTGTTATTCCAAATGTGTGCATATGTATATATATGCAAAGTTAATAAACAGGTAAGACTTATGATAGGAACTGCACTTTTACCCCACCGATAATTAGTATAATAGTTTCAATTATTGGATTAATTATTCAATGGTCTGGTCCATAATTAGAAGTAATTATATGTCGCGCCTTAAATTTTTAATGTTGATATTTACCTATCAAACCGTTAAAAAGTTAATTCAACATGTAAAAATACAATTCCTACTGTAAGAATTGCTTATTGAATTGTGAAATTGTCATATCAATTGTCAAACTTTAATAAACTATTGAATAGTTCACTTAATCCATTTGGTAAAAGGTGGATATACATAGCGGGAGCACATCTCTTTCCTACATAAACAAATAATTGTGAATAGAAAGCAACTTGTACATCATTACCAGTATGAATATGAATAAAAAGTGTATGTAAGATGAATGCAGATGGCCCAATAACATTTCGTCTAATTGAGGGAATAGGCTATGGAGAGAAGAGATCAGAGGGATAATGTTAAGAATATTCTGAAAAGGAACCCAATTTTTGTATAGCTTTTTCAATGTAGCACTAGATGTGAGTGGGGACTCTAGAGGATGTTTGGTAGAGGGATTCGTTCCCTGATTCGAATCATGATTCATGGTTCGTTATAGTATTTTCTCTCACAAAAAATTCACGTAAATAAAAAATGGTTCAAATCACAAACGTTATATAATCCAAGCCCATTTTGCTGATTTTTCATTTTTCTGCAATGGGAACTAAGCCTTTGATCAGGACGAATATGAGAATATTTGATCTTTATTGAATTTAGAATAATAGAATTAGACTGGCTAGATCCCATTTAAAATTTGCTGATTATTTTTTACACGCATAAAAACAATATCAACCAGCCTTGCCTTATTTTAACCAAAAAAAATAAATAAATAAAAGAGAAAAATAAAATAAAAATAAAAATGAAGTTTTACCTTACACAGAACTAGAATAGCCAACCAATTAACGCACACCGTTTGCATTACCAGTTGATTTCTTCATCCATAGATCTTCGCATTTCCTTTGTTTTTTGCGTTTTGTTTTTATTTTCGAAAAAAGGTCCTTGATTTCGTTCTCAATATCGCTTTCCTTTGTTTTTTGCGTTTTGTTTTTAATTTTCGAAAAAAGGTCCATGATTTCGTTCTCAATATCGCTTTCAATATCAACCGGATTAAACCTCATCACATCTCAGTCCTTATCCAATTCTCCTACTTCACGATGCTGCGAATAATTAAGCAATTCACTTTATTTATATATTATAAAAATAGAAATTTATTTGAAAAGTACTGTACGAATAAGATGTTAAAATGTTTTATTTTCAACTGTTAAATTTGTATTAAAAAATATTTGTTTTAATCTAATTCAAACCATATGTAATTGTTAAAAAACTACCTCTATTGATAAAGAGGTTCTATGAGACAAAAGAGCTATAAAAATAAACAATTCATCTTCATATAGTGCTATATGCTATGGTCAAGTTACAATGGGCGAAACACTAATTAATCTCAGAAAGTGACAAAAGCATCCGAGAAAAAAGATATAATATTTTATTTGGTTAATTCTTTGGGTGGAAAAGATGAGCAATCAAAATAAACTTGAAAAAGTATTGCTAGCTTTATGAAACTCCACATAATGTTAAGAGAGAATGAGGAAGAATAGATATAATATACTAGAAAAATTAAGAACAATTGGTTAAAGAAAGAGTAAATAAGTGAGGGGAAAAAAAAGAAAAAAAACAGAATCATAAGTGTCACTTTATATAAAAAGTGAAATTGGAGAGTTACAAAAGAAAAGAACGGTGTTATATATATATATATATATATATATATATAAAGTGTTATATATATAAAAATGATAAGATATAACATTAAAATCATATTACAATAAAAAAGTGTTATAATTCAATGATACTTGTTTCGCTGAGTAATTCAACAATACTTGTTAAAATATGACATTTTATAATTGCATCATGCGTCTAGAATATTTTTGTTCATATCTTATAAAAAAATATCTTTCTGTGGTGATTTTTTTTTAAAGAAAATTAAAGTTGGTCAAATAGAAAAATAATTTCAAAAGGACAAACCATATTTCTCATAAGAAAAGACACGCTCTTACATGTCATGACGATTTCTTTTCCACAAAAATAACTTTAGCATATAATTTACTAACATATGGATTTAAAATAGCGAAATTTGTAATATTCTTCAAGAGTAAACGTATTTCCATTAAAAAAAAACAGTAAATGTACTCATACCCCTTAAATATCGGGATAAAAGTAAGATTATTAAGATTGTTTTCGTATTTAAAAAAAAAAGTTAGAAGTAGAGAATTAAAAAAGGAAAATGTGGGAGGAAAAAGACTGCAAATGTTTTTCCTAATTTTCTTAATTTTTTAGTAGCTGATGTTTTTCTTAATTTTTATTTTTTGTTAAAAGGAAATCCGGTCCGGGGGACCACGTGGGTGACTGACAGGATACTAGGTTTGGGCTTTGAATACAATGGGCTAACTTCGGCCGCGTGAATATGGATAAGGTGGACCCACATGAATACTATGGGGCCAGACCGGCAAAAGTTTTGTAATGATTTTCGATATTTTACCTGCTGCAGATTAAATAATGTAACTTCAAAAAAAAAAAAAAAAAAAAAAAAAAAAAGAGTTTTTTGGTGATCCAAAAAAAAAAAAAATGGAAGAGAAATGATTTCGACTAAAAATAGTATATTTTAGCTGTTTTAGGGATACATATACTTTTTAATTTTTTAACAACTAGACAAAATTTGTCGTTTTTTTTTGTGATTTTTATCATTTAACCCTCAAATAGCATTATTAATATTATTATTATTATTATTGCTCGTCATAATAATAATATTATTTAGTAGTTAAAAAAATGGCCATCTGATCTGTCTTATCAACTTCGGCCCAACTTAGAAACAATAACACTTCAAAATTAAACTTACATAAGTATTAAACACAGTAGAAACGTGACCTTCCCAGAAAAGCACAAAATTTTCCGGAGAAAACAAACGGTGAGGTCCGATAATTTCGGACTCTTATCCTATCAAGTCATTCACAACAAACAGCAAAGAGAAGAAAAAAAAAAAAACATTAGTTTTTCAAACATAAACTCTAGTTTCAACACTTTTGTATTGTGATAATTAGTGATCCTCTTTACACTAATAGATGTACGTGAATTTCTTATTATTAATTAATCAAAGTTTTTAAACACCTCCCAATAACATAATGATACTTACTATTAAGTAATACCTACCAATAACATATGGCAATCACATATTATTGAATACGAGTATCTCAAATGTATTGTTAAATTAATGTGTCGATATTAAATATTAACTTAAAATCACTCAATGTTATTTTTAATGTTAAATTTAATTGTTATTAGTTAATATAACAACTTTTATTTACTTGGTATTTCAATTTATTTAAATTTAATTTTTTTTTTTTACAATTTCTAAAACTTAACAAAAAAGCAGACATAACGTTTAAGTGTCTCCATTGGAGATAGATTGGGTTGGATATGTGAGCGTACATTTTTATTAAAAAAAATTTGATATTAGAATTGGGTCTGTGCCGATTTATAAGTTTGTCTTAATTCTTACAGTTTTAACCTTAGAAATTTACAAATTTTAACATAAAATTCATAATTATATGGCAACTTATATAACTTCAACGTTTATAAAATTTACAAGTTATTATATTTTACTATGAATTTTTCTATGGGTAGTACAAAAGTTTAGGTTTATTCCACAAAGGGTCTATGAGGTTTACTCTCAATATTAATTTAGTCTATGATTTTTTAAACATCTCATAATTAGAATATAAATTTTTATTTTGTTTTAGTTTCGGCGTTTCGTTAAATAAGTGTTAAAATTTAATAAAAACGGTATAAATTAAGGATTAAAGTTAGAAACAATTAAAAATTTATGACTATATGTGGAAATTAATTTTTATTTTTTGCATTATTTTAGCCTCTAAACTTTATATGTTTTTAATTTTGATACACTAAGTTAACAAAATGATCGAAATTGAAACAAAGTAAAATTTTAAAGACTAATTGTAAAACTTTTTAAAAATCAAGGACCAAATAAGATTGATAGACAATTTGTGAGATTTTAGGGCCTATTTGGCATAGTTTTTGCTTTCACTTTTAGTCAGTAGAGAAAGAGAAATAAAAGCTGCGGCTAAGTGTTTAAAATAAATAGTTTAATATGTTAAAATGATTTTTAAATTTTTTAATATGTAATATAAAAGTGTTAAAATTAAATTTATAATGCATTAATTAAACTCTGATATAAGTTTCAAAATCTATTAAGAAATATTTCTTTTAAAAACAACTTTAACTGCAAATTATTCTAAAAAAATCAATACACTTTTAACAGATCATCAAACACACTTTCAATAATAATTTTTAAACTAAAAATTCAAAACCAACTTTTAAAAAACACTTCCAAACACAGACTAACTCTAGAAAGTTTCTTTAGAATTGGCGTGTATTATTCAATGAAAAAGTGGACCCCTTGCCTCGTGTCGTAGTGCAACCAATTCTCCATCCTGATGCCAAGCGTCCAAGTGTCCGATAAATAAGAATTCAGACATGATTCTTCTTTCATGCGCTAGCAAAAAACCAATCCAACCAAAAAAAAACTCGGTCCATCTTCTCTACTAGAATTTGGCTACAGAAAACAGGAGAATATTTCGCTCCTTCTTCTCTCTGGACATCGACCATATATTTATATACATAATATTGGTATATATTAACCATATACATGTATTTGTTTTATATCCTCTAAGTTCTTAGTCCCAACCACGTACTGAAATTCGCAGCTTTTTCGTCACTGATTTCGGTGTCGGTTGTTGAATGGTCACCGGACGTTTTTAGTTCTTGCAACGACATCGATTTTGAGTTTCAACAGAAAGCTTGGAAGATTCCCGATAGTTCGATCATGGCGACTCGGAAGCTAGGTCGTATGCCAAGCCTCAGAAACCGCGTCGAGGACACTCTCTCTGCTCACCGCAACGAGCTCGTTTCTCTCCTCTCTAGGTTCGCTTCAGTTTCTTTTGTTTTTTGTTTTTTATTTATTGTAACCTCCGTTTGGTTACCTAGAAAACGCGGGAAAAGAAAGTGCTAAAGCTATAAAGCGTGTTTGGTTTGAAGGTATGTGTCTCAAGGAAAGGGGATTTTACAACCGCATACCTTGCTCGATGAGATCGATAATGTCTTCGCCGAGGATGAAACGAGGGAGTCTCTCATCAACGGTCCTTTTGGCGAAGTCATCAAAGCCGCCGAGGTCGATTTTCCTTCACTTCCTCTGTACTTTATTCGGAATAATTATTTCTTTCTTCATTCAAATTATTGTTATGATCAGAAGCATTTTCGTCCGGAGTTGTTAAATTCAGTTGATTATGCCTCTACGAGTCGTCATTCAAGTTTATTTTGTATAATTTCTGTTTTGATTAATGCTCTGTTTGGACCTTGTAAATCATAAACAGGTACTAATTAGTGCTTCGTTCACTTTTGTTTTCGCTTTAACAAGCAAAGATTCGGTTTTCTTAGCTGAAATTGGTCCAATTAAGTAAATATTGTCTCTACAAAAGTAGTAGTTGAAATATCCTTATTTGGAAAAATTTTATTCAGATCATCAATTTTTTGAATAATTTTTTTGCTAAAAAAAGGAAAAAGACAAGAAAAAATAGAAAGCGTGTGTTGAATGCAGAACGTAACAATTTTTGGTGACAGGAAGCCATTATTCTGCCTCCGTTTGTGGCTATAGCTGTTCGTCCGAGGCCTGGTGTTTGGGAATTCGTCCGTGTTAATGTCTTTGAGCTCAGCGTGGAACAATTGACTGTCTCTGAATATCTTAGCTTCAAAGAAGATCTTGTAGATGAGCGGTAAGGAAATTCTGTTTCTCTGAAATATTTTCACCATTTTAAAAATGTTTACCATACTTGGGTTGAGTTGGTCCAATGATGCAAGTTGTAGGATTTTGGGGGAAAATATTTATTCTCATTAATCTAAGCATAACCGGGAAAAATACAGATTGAGAATCTAATCTTCTAAATAAACTCTACATCATATCTTTAACAATCCTTATCCTATACTACAAAATTTAAACTCTAGAATTTAAATCTTATTGATAACGCATAAACCATAACGAAACCTATCTACTCCTATATTTCCGACACTCCCCCTCAAGTTGGAGCATAGATATTTATCATGCCCAACTTGCTTGTCAAAAATTCAAAATGAGACTGTAGAAGCACCTTAATTAAGATATCAGTTATCTGCTGTGTAGTTGGAACAAACGGCAAGCAGATGATTCCCGCTTGAAGTTTCTCTTTAATGAAAATGTCTATTGATCTCAACGTGCTTTGTTCGATCATGTTGTCCGGAGTTATGTGCAATGCTAATGGTAACTTTGTTGTCGCAATAAAGTTTCATTGGACTCTCAATCGGCCTTCTTAATTCTTCAAGAATCTGCTTCAACCACAGAACTTCACATATTCCATGAGCCATTGATCTGAACTCAGTCTCAGCACTACTCCTTGCCCCAACACTTTGCTTCTTGTTTCTCCACGTAACTAAGTTACCCCAGACAAATGTACAGTACCTAGATGTAGATCTTCTATCTGTAATAGATCTAGCCCAATCAGCATCGATGTTGACTTCAATACCTCGCCGTTCATTTTTCTTGAAGAACAATCCTTTCCCGGGGGTACTCTTTAGATATCTCAAGATTCAGTGGACTGCCTCAAGATGCTCTTCATATGGAGAGTGCATAAATTGACTCACTGACAGCAAATGCAATGTTTGGGCGAGTATGTGACAGATATATCAGTTTCTTGACCAGCTTCTGGTATCTTACTGTATCCACCGGCGTTCCTTTTTCTCTTTCTCCAAGCTTTAGGCTCGGCTCCATTGGTGTTTCAGCTGGTTTGCAACCACTCATCCCAGTCTCTTTCAGGAGATCAAGGGCATACTTTCGTTGAGAGACAGCTATGCCCTTCTTGGATCTTGCGATTTCCATGCTAAGGAAGTATCTCAATTGTCCCAAGTCTTTAATCTCAAACTCAGAAGTTAAGCATTGTTTCAACCTCTCCATCTCTGCCAAGTAATCTCTAGTGAGGATGATATGATCCACATAGACAATCAGAACTGTAACTTTCTCTCCGGTCGAGAACTTCATAAATAGAGTATGGTCTGTCTGCGCCTGAGTGTATCCATGTCTTTTCTCACACTGAGTAATCTTTTCAAACAAAGCCCTCAGTGATTGCTTGAGTCCATAGAGTGATTTTTTCAACCTGCACACTCTAGAACCAAATTTTTTATCAAAACCAGGAGGGGAGTCCATATAAACTTCTTCTTCCAGATCCCCATTCAGAAATGCATTCTTCACATTTAGTTGTTGTAGTGGCCAGTCTAAATTCACAGCAATAGACAAAAGTACTCAAACTGTATTAAGTTTTGCGACAGGTGCGAATGTCTCAGAGTAGTCTATCCCATATGTCTGTGTGAAGCCCTTAGCTACCAACCGTGCCTTGTACCTTTCTAGTGTGCCATCTACATTGTATTTGACTATAAAAACCCATTTGCAGCCAACATTTGCCTTTCCCACTGGTAGGTCCACAACTTCCCAAGTTTCATTTTTTTCTAGAGCCCTCATCTCTTATAGAATAGCCTCTCCTTCCATTCAGGAACATTTAGAGCCTCCTGCATTGTTCTAGGAATTTCTACACTAGACAATTGTGAGGTAAAAGCACGAAGAGAAGGTGATAATTTTTCATATGACACAAAGTTGGATAGGGGGTGTTGTGTACAAGATCTAACCCCCTTACGATGAGCAATAGGAACATCCAAGTTATTAATAGACTTAGCTTGGACACTAGACTCCAAAGATTTAGATTGAGACAGAGATATACCTGAAGGGGACTCTGGATCTGTTCCTAAGTTGGATTCATGGTGATGCTGCAAAGGAGGGACTCTCTTTCCTTGAATCGGTTTTCTTCTCGAGTGGACATGGAGCTCTTGAATTTTTCCACTTAGTTTTTCACACATCTCTATTCCTAACCGGTCATCTAATGGCATTGAAGGAGGTCCTCCATCATTCCCAACTTCTAAAATATCATTTTCTAGATGTGGATTTGGACTTGATTCTAAAGACATAGGGTTCATATTTAGATGGTTTGAGACTTTCTTACTCATTGGTTTAAAGTGGTCATTCTCGGCAGCAGCAGCAGGATCATGGTTCCTATTATTCGCGGCAGCAGCAAGGTCGTGGTTCCTATTATACTCGGCAGGCGTAGGGTCATGGTTCCTATTATACTCGGCAGCAGCAGGATCAAGCACAACAGAGTCAAGTAGGTCAAGTTTAGTTTCTAACCTAGCATCTTCACTATCACTCTCCCCCTGAAGATGATTCTTACAAAAATATTTCTATGTTTCAAAGAATATCACATCCATAGTTACAAAAACTTTTTTTGAAATTGGGTCAAAACATATGTCCCCTTTTTGTGTTGGTGAGTAACCAATAAAAACACACTTTTTTCCAATTTCCCCCGATTATGATTATGCACATGAATGAATGCAACACAACCAAATACTTTAAGTGGAATATCAGTGACAAGCAGTGATGTGGGAAATTTCTGCTTAAAACAGTTCAATGGTGTTTGAAATTTCAAAACTCTTGTGGGCATTCTATTAATTAGGAACAAGACAGTAAGGATTGCTTCACCCCACAAGTATTTTGGAACATTATTTGTAAGAAGTCGTGACCTAGCAACCTCAAGAAGATGTTGTTTTTTCTTTCTGCCACCCCATTTTGTCGAGGGGTGTCATTGCAAGAACTTTGGTGTACAATCCTTTTTTCTAAGAAAAATTTGTCCAAGATTTTATTAAAATATAATTTCCCATTATCACTTTAGAAAACTTGAATTTTAGTTTCAAATTGTGTTTGAACCATATTGTAAAAGTTTTTGAAAACTTCTTCTGCTTCAAACTTTTCCTTTAATAGAAACACTCAAGTTACCCGTGTGTGATCATCTATGAAGGTGATAAACCATCTTTTTTGAGAGAAAGTGCTAACCCTAGAAGGTCCCTAAACATCGCTATGGATAACTGTGAATGGTTTTGAGCCTTTATAGGGTTGTAGAGGAAAGAAAGCCCGGTGATGTTTTGACAATTCACAAATCTCACACTGAAATGAAGATGGACTTTTATTGTTGAATAATCTAGGAAACAAATATTTAAGATATTGGAAATTTGGATGTCCTAACCTAAAATGCCATAACATGACTTCTTTATCGCTAGAAACATAAATAGACTTAAAACAAGTATTTTGAGCTTGTCTTCCCGAGCTTGATCCATCTTCAAAGAAATAGAGTGCTCTATTTTGTCTAGCATTGCCAATCGTCTTCCTTGAGTTTGAATCCTGAAACTTACAAGAAGATGTGGAAAAGTGAATTTGATAGTTTAAGTCTCGAGTTAGTTTACTGACAGACAAGAGATTACATGGCAAATTTGGAACATGAAGAACATTTTGAAGAGTGATGAATGGAGAGATAGCAATGGAACCTTCCCAGCTATGGCTGAAAGGGATCCATCCGCTATTTTAATTTTTTGATTTCCTGCACATGGACTATGTGAAGAGAACGATTTTGATGATTCTGTCATGTGATCAGTTGTACCGGAATCTATGATCCACGAGCAATTTATACCGGAATGGACACTAACAAGGGCAGTGAGGTAGTTACCTTTTTGGGCTAGAGAACATGATGGATTAGAGGAATCTACAGAGAATTGTGTGGATTGGATGATTTTCAACAAGTGGTCTATCTGTTCCTTAGTGAATGGAGAGCTTTCTGTTGAGACTTGCTGCCCTTGGTCATCATTTGAAACTTGGAATGCTCGGCCACCCCCTTCATTCTTTTTCTTCCAATTCGGCGGCTTCCCATGTAATTTCTAGCATGTTTCCCATGTATGCCAAGGTTTCTTACAGTGATCACACCATGGCTTATCATTCTTCTTTGTGTTTCTCCTGTCTCCGTCCAAGTCAGCCCCCCGAGAAACCAAGGCAGAGGTTTTGGCCTCTGTTACTCCTCTTGCGTCTTCTTTCTTCATCATCACACTCCTTCGCTTTTCTTCCCTTCTCACTTCAGAGAACACCTCTCGGATGGATGGAAGTGGTTTCCTTCCTAGAATCCGACCTCTCACCTCATCTAAATCCCTGTTGAGTCCGGCCAAAAAAACAAACACTCTGTCATTCTCCACCCTCTTCATATAGCGCACGATATCATTGGTGCAGTCCCATTCTTCCTCGTAGCATAAGTCCAATTCTTGCCAAAGGTTCACCATCTTGTTCTAATAAACCGTGACCTCTCTAGCCCCTTGTCTTGCTTGCCATAGCCTTGGTTTTATCTCAAATATTTGAGATGAATTTTCTAAGTCGGAATAGGTCTCTCGTACGGCATCCCAAACTGCTTTGGCGGTTGGAAGGAATAAGAATGGCTTTCCAATCGAGTAATCCATGGAATTGATAAGCGATGCGGTACCATGGAGTTTTCGGATCTCCATGTCTTCAACTTTGGGTCGTTCTCCCCTGGTTTCTTTGCCTTGCCTGTCAGGAACCCTAACTTCCCTTTTCTATCGATTACAAGCTTCACGGATTGAACCCAAGACAAGTAATTCTTCCCATTTAATTTGTGTGCAGTCAATTGCAATGCATTAGATGGGAGATTCATGAGGGAAACGCCATCATCACTACTTTGGACTGTGGCTGAATTGTCTTGCGAACTCTCTGTGTCATCTCTCGTGGAAGAGGAACTTCTGTTGGCACCGGCCATGGCAGTTTTTGCCATTGGAAGATTACGTTAAGAGCCTAAGCTTTGATACCATGTAGGATTTTTGGGGAAAATATTTATTCTCATTAAGCTAAGCATAACCGGGAAAAATACAATAGTTACATAGAAGAGATTGAGAATCTAATCTTCTTCTAGATAAACTCTAAATCCTATCTTTAACAATCCTTATCCTATACTACAAAATTTAAACTCTAGAATTTAAATTTAATTAAAAACGCATAAACCATAACTAAACCTATCTACTCCTATATTTCCGACACAAGTATATGTTGACATTGTGATAAGCCTCCTTTGCGATTTACCTATGTGAGGAGGAAGACTCGGGAGAGGGGAGTGGCTGATGCAGGGAATAACAGTGGAAACTTGGGTCTGGGAGATATTTCTGGACAGGGGAATGAATTGGAAGGGCAGGAAGCTGAGCTAGCATGTCGTGTGTGAGCTGGCAAGTGAGTGGTTATTCTGTAGGTTTAGGGGGGAAAAGTTAGTTACGGGAAGAAGGATTGTATAAATAGCAAAAGAGGGGGATTCTTAGGGGGATCTTGAATTTCCGGAGATAATCTAGAATTTGGGAGTGCACGGGGTCACTCGAACACCCCCATACCTAGGTCATAGATTCTGTAATTTTTCTGCCATTGATTTAGTTTTGCTGAGCTTGAGTTGTAACTCGTTGTGCATAATTCAAGTGATAGATTGACTGGAATTGCTTAGACTCTGTTCGTGCTTATCACATTGCTGCTTTTGTATAGGATTAATGACAACTTTGTTCTTGAGTTGGACTTTGAGCCATTCAATGCCTCTCTCCCTCGCCCCAACCGGTCCTCGTCCATTGGCAATGGTGTTCAATTCCTTAACCGTCACCTTTCTTCAATTATGTTCCGCAACAAAGACTCCTTGGAGCCACTTCTTGATTTCCTTCGAGCACACAAGTACAAAGGGCGTGTAAGTTTCTCAGCAAGGGACCTTGTTTGTCATAATTTTTTTCCCCCAATTGCGAATTGTAATAAAGTGTTATGTTTTCCATCTATATGCTTCAATGAAGGAAAAATGCAAATCCAAATACAGTGACCTGTATACATATATGGTATAAAACTTAAGAACTCTTCCTACGGGATAGATCGCATGGTAGAGAAATATCTTTTAATGATTAGTGCTTTTTATGACTCATGACTTTGCAAAGCAACAAGTAATATGCAGATTTGATGCAGGCATTGATGTTGAATGATCGGATACTAAGCATATCACGCCTTCAATCTTCTTTGGCTAAGGCTGAGGACGATCTTTCTAAACTTCCGCCTGAGACTCCCTATTCCGAGTTTGAATATGAGTAAGCTTCTTCTAAATAGTCTGCTGTTCACTTGTCTTATCTGACAGACACATGGAACAGATATTGTTAGAAGACTATAATTGCATCTCCTAATAGTAAATAATAAGGCTTTTTTTTTCCCCTCATTACTTCCATTGTAGTCTACAAGGAATGGGTTTCGAGAGAGGCTGGGGAGATACTGCAGCACGGGTGTTAGAGATGATGCATCTTCTCTTGGATATTCTTCAGGCTCCTGATCCTTCTGTATTAGAGACATTTCTCGGGAGAATACCTATGGTGTTTAATGTTGTCATCTTGTCTCCACATGGGTACTTTGGTCAAGCAAATGTTTTAGGTTTGCCTGACACTGGTGGGCAGGTATATTGTTCTATCTATTTTGTCATGCCTAACGGTGTTCATGCAAAAACAGACGCAAATAATCTTTCTTTTTCAATTCCTCCGTTTTGTGCTATACCCCTTATATGGTTCCTCTATGTACATGAACATTTTTGGTTTGGTAGATTTTATTTCTATATATATATATATATATATATATATATATACACTTGTGATGAGCAGGTTGTTTATATACTGGATCAAGTGCGTGCACTGGAGAAAGAGATGCTTCTCCGAATTCAGAAGCAAGGATTAGATGTCACTCCTAGAATTCTTATAGTAAGAATGCTTAGTTTTTTATGGTTGCAGTTGCACCCATTAATAGCACTTGGGTTTAGCTATCATCTTTCCTTTCTGTTAATGTAACGCAATTTAACTAGGTAATATTCTCAGTTAAAAAAAAAAAAAAAAAAAAAAAAAACTCTAGGTGACCAGATTGATACCTGATGCCAAAGGGACCACATGCAATCAGAGATTGGAGAGAGTCAGCGGAACTGAACATGCACATATTCTGCGAGTTCCATTTAGATCAGATAAAGGAATTCTCCGTAAATGGATCTCGAGATTTGATGTATGGCCTTATCTAGAGACTTTTGCTGAGGTAAATATAAAATTGAGCTTGCGCTTCTTATTATTAATCATAATGTACTTTGCTTCGTGATTTGATATGCCTGTATTAGAGTGGTCTTCATTACAATCATATTGATTATTGTGAAGTAGCACTAACCTTAAAATATCCATTTTGTAGATTTGTCCCTTTTTATGTGTTACTGTTCTTGACTATTATTTGGTATGTCATCAGGATGCAGCAAGTGAAATGGCTGCTGAGTTGCAGGCAATTCCAGATTTTATAATAGGAAACTACAGCGATGGGAATCTTGTCGCATCTCTATTGGCTTATAAAATGGGAGTTACGCAGGTCAGTGATTATTTCGTTCCATACCATGAATAAAGTGCTTTCTTCCCTATACGAATATGATGTTATTTGTTTCGCCAAGTCGGGGCTAGAGTACAGTGTTGACTGTTGTGCTTCTTCAATACAAACTTGTTCAGTTCAGAATCATGAACGAAAGATTTCAGTAATAATTTTTGCTTTGGCTTTTGCAGTGCACCATTGCACATGCACTGGAGAAAACAAAGTATCCAGATTCAGATATATACTGGAAAAAATTCGAGGACAAGTACCATTTCTCATGTCAATTTACCGCTGATCTTATAGCCATGAATAATGCAGATTTCATAATCACCAGTACATACCAGGAGATTGCAGGAACGTACGTGTCTTCCTATCTCATTTTATCATCTTACGTTCAAAAGTTTATATATTTTTCATATGGATATGATTATTACGGCTTGAAGGCTGGACTAGCAGAAGTCGTTGCTTCAAATTTAAGTTCCTGTTATATCTTGGTTTATCTTTGCTCAACTTTTATTCTCATTATTTCAGGAAAAATACTGTTGGTCAGTATGAGAGCCACACTGCTTTCACTCTTCCTGGACTCTATCGGGTTGTTCATGGCATTGATGTCTTTGATCCAAAGTTCAATATTGTTTCACCTGGAGCAGATATGTCCATTTATTTTCCTTACTCCGATAAGGAGAAAAGACTTACAGCCTTGCATGGTTCCATAGAAAAGTTGCTGTGTGATCCTGAGCAGAATGAAGAACATATGTGAGTCTCTCAAGTATTTTTATACATTTTCTTACTAACCGGAATTCTATAACTTGAAATATAATATAATATAATAATAGTCGTTTGCTTGGTATTAGAGAATTGCATGAAGGAAGTCCGCCAGTGTGCCATTACTATATCATACATATAACAAAAATATTGCATTCACCACTCCCCCTATGTTATACTTTATGCTCGCATTATAAATTACCACCGACATTTTTTAATTTTATTAACTTTATGTCTAAAATTGTAACATTTTACTATAGCAAAGATGTAGTGTGAACATTGGACCATCAGTAAGAACTGAGAGTTAAAATTGTTTCCACGTATGAAACCGATAATGGATTGATTAATAAGATGATGTTTCATTTACATTTTCAGTGGCATGTTGAACGATCGATCAAAGCCCATAATATTTTCCATGGCAAGACTTGATCGGGTGAAGAACATAACGGGATTGGTCGAGTTATATGCTAAGAATGACAAACTGAGGGAGATGGTAAACCTCGTTGTAGTAGCTGGCTACAACGATGTGAAGAAATCAAAGGACAGAGAAGAAATTTCTGAAATTGAGAAGATGCATGACCTCGTAAAGAAGTACTCTTTGCACGGTCAATTTCGATGGATATCAGCTCAGACTAACCGGGCACGAAATGGAGAGCTTTATCGTTACATAGCCGACACAAAGGGTGCTTTTGTTCAGGTACATAGAGAAATTGGACTTCTTTCTTTTCAAATAAACTAAAGTCTCATGGTAATATATCCTAATCTCCCTTAAACTTTTAACAATCTGCAGCCTGCTTTCTATGAAGCTTTTGGGCTCACAGTTGTGGAGGCTATGACGTGTGGCCTTCCCACGTTTGCCACATGCCATGGAGGTCCTGCAGAGATTATCGAGCATGGTGTATCCGGGTTCCACATTGATCCTTACCACCCGGATCAGGCTGCTAAGCTTATGGTGGATTTCTTTCAAAAGTCCAAGGAAGATCCTAGTTACTGGCTTAAAATTTCAGAGGGGGGACTTCAAAGAATTTATGAAAGGTCATTGTCTAGATGGAATTTGTAAGAAGTTTTGTAATTAACCATGTTTTTATCGGACTCATTAGGCTTTTTGTGATGTTATAGGTACACATGGAAGATTTATTCTGAAAGGCTGATGACGCTGGCTGGTGTTTATGGTTTCTGGAAGTATGTTTCAAAGCTGGAGAGGCGCGAGACCCGTCGTTATCTTGAAATGTTCTACATTCTTAAATTCCGCGATCTGGTGAGTACTACTTAAAACTTTTACTTTCAATGCTTACTTTCAAATAGAGGACACCATAGAATTTTCATTGTGTATTGTTGTTAAGGTTGAAAAAAAAATGTAGAATTTCATTATTACCTGTTTTTTCAGGCAAAATCTGTTCCTCTAGCGAGCGATGACCCTCATTGATCACCTAGCCCATAAAAAAGTGACTCCCTTCACATGGTTATGGAGGTGTAACTGGTGCATGTATATAAATAAAAGTTTCTATTTGTGTGTGTTGAAGAAGAAATTAGTGTCTGGTTTTATGAATAAGAGAGCTGTGACTCTAATCGGAGCCCTTTTTAATTATATATTCAATAAGAACAACTTGTACTTATCACTTGATTTTGTGTTGCTTAAAATCCTTCCAAACACAATAATAAAAACTCGGGGACCACAATAACCGCATTCATACATTTATTCCGCAGTGGGAATGTCTTCTGGTTCTTAGATACCTTTGCCCACTATGTTTGAGAACTTTGTGGCTCTTTATTTGGGTATGTACTGGGCCCACAGTACTCTTGCTCTTTTATTTAATTCTACTTTGATATATCTTGCTGTAACAAAGACTAAAAGCCTCTTTGAATCCAGTTCTGACACCTGAGTTTCTGACAAGCCTGCAAACCCACACCAGCTTTTTTGACCATATGAACTATAACTACAGCCCCCAATAATCTCACGTTCACATGCTACTCAATATCTCTCGTTTTATCACCCTTTAAACGGTCAAATACTCTCTCGGTAACGACCAACGGTAAAATATTAATTTTTTTTTACGACATTATCCACTGACAATCACAACTATGCTTATGGATAACTCGTTTTTCTCTTCTTGTTCTTGAACTACACAGTATGCCCTTTTTCTCGAGTTTCCCTTTTTTTTTTTTCTTTTTTTTTTTAGTGTCTCTAGTAGGATTAGAAAATATAAATCACTGGTTGTTTTTTACTTTTCAACCGGTAAATTTGTATTAAAAAATGCTTAATTTCTACATATATTATTTTAATTTGATGTGCTTTATATTAATTTAACGGTCATAAACTAGTGAGGTCTACTAAGAAAGTCTCTTTTTTCCCCTTTGAGAACTCCGGTTTTTTATCATCACAGCACGTTATCAGTTAGATTAATACATTGTTCGCACGTTTATCAGTCAAATTAAGAAAAATATTACAATGTTAACAAAACTTATGAACATATGAGAATCTTACGGTTAAAAACTGAAACTTTTGTTTTGTTTTCCTTTTTTTCTTTACCATCACTTTGATACCTGATCGTAGTTCGCCAGTGTTACTTTCTAATTGAAAATCTTTCAAAGTCATGCCAGGATTTACGCAAAAGTAGAAAGGGAGATAAAGAGAAGTTTTGTTGCCAGTTGAACACAAGAAGACGAAGTATTACAAGTTCCCAAAAGGGACTAAACAACAAACATTACATGCTTCTTAATCCAACCCAAATAAATGGAGTATTAGCCAGCACTATTCGCCACTTACATCAACACCGTTCCAGGCACGAAACTTGCTCTCCCTCCCAGCCTAGCAGCTTAAACTCTTAAATTAATTAAACTAAACAACATTAACGTATTTTAATAAAACTATATAAATCAAAGCCATTAGGACCTTGACAACTGTTGTGTTTTTTCAAAGTTCGGGGCTTGAGCCCTTTGGCCTCGACCCTATCACAACACTACGTGCACTTCAAATCCCACAGGAATTACATTACATTACACGCAAAAAAAAAAAAAAAAAAAAAAGGACGAGAGAAAAACGACACTAGAATCTAATAAAATAAGATAACGAAAAAGAGACCTAAAGTGTTGAGTGTTCAGTTCAGTCTAGAGCTGGCCAAATGAGTGGGCCAGATAAGCCAGTGCTCCTACGAGTGGGGCATTGGTGTACGTGGCGGGCTCTGATTGCTCGTAATCCGACCGTTGATCTGGGAACCTGTCGTGCAAGTCGGGCCCACCGATGACTGCGCCCACTAGGACGTTGGGGTTGGGGGATTGGGATTTCATGAAGTTGAAGCCTGCGGAGCACTGGATCTTTGCCGGGTGCTTGGCAACGGACGGTAGGGATGATCCTCTGTGGTGAATCCTTTGTGGGTAGCGTGGGCCATACCCCACCATGTAGGACATTCTCAAAGGGTTGTCTCCTAACAGATAGTCCACCTGGTACATATTAAATGAAAAAAATGTGGTTCATTAATTAAATGTTTGAAGGAATGTCTCTATGAATGTCTTTATAAATGTTTATAATCACAAACTAAAAGGAGTTGAATTAGTCTGAGATCGAATCTTTGTTAGTTATGGTGCTTAACGCTTCGAGCATTCTTCACTGTTTATTAGAATAAATAACAATGTTGGGGGGTCACCTGTTTTTTGGCGATGGTTCGGAGCCTCTTAGGGGTGACGGTGGTTCCGCCGCAAACGACAACTCTATGGGCAGAGGTTAGGTACTTCGCGTATGTCAAGAGCAAGAAAGAAGTCGAGGTCACATACTGCATGTTGCTATCACTCATCTTGAACAAAAGCCCACCTAAAAAAAAAAAACCAAAAGTAACCGTTACAAACAGGACCACAAAACTAGATGAATGTGAACAGAGAGAGAGAGAGATTTTACCTGGAGTGTATTGAGCAGAAGAGGAAGGGGCTCCGGGGACTAGAGAACAGATGAAATTATCTGCATGACCCTTGTAGTCATGGAGGGCTTTTACTTTTTGGACCAAAAATGCCTGCAAAACGCAAACCCCAACTACTTTTAAATCCTAGGTTGCAGTTTATAAAGACTAAATCAGGACTAGAATACTTTTAAAAAAATATGGAACCTTGGAGAGAAGAATTCTTGCTCCAACATGTTTGTTGTCCCATCCAAATGTGTTATCATACTCTCCAGCCCCAAGGATCTGTCCATTAACTTGGATGTAGTTAAGATAGCTTGGGTTCTTCGTGGCCTTCTGAAGCCAAGCAGCACCCCACAATAGCTCATCCTAGCATATTTTTACGCACATTACTAACTATAAACAGAAACCAAAAATGGGCAGAGAAAAAGGAAAAAAAAAAAAAAAAAAAAAAAAAAAAAAAAAAAAACCTTTACCTGGTAACCTGAGTAAGAGCAGTAGAAAGGACATACATCGGCCTTCAATGGGTTGCTGTAGGTTCCTCTGTACTTATCAGCAAATGCAAACACCTAAACCACAAGTAAAAGAAAAGTTCAGATTTTAGAAATGAATGCTTGTTCTCTTCTCAACTAAAAATTTTGCATTGGTTAATAGAAAATGTTTACCCTGATGGCCCTTTTGAGCAAGAGTTTGGAGTAAGTGGGGTCACTTCTTCTGAAGACCAAAGAAGCAGAAGCAAGAGCGGCAGCAGTTTCGGCAGCCACTTCAGAACCCGGGCTGTTTTTGTCTATCTTGAAAACACTCCTCGGCGTATCCATGTCTTCAGGTCTCTCCCAACAAGAATGGTCCTTGTTTGCATCCCCCACCTGAAAAAAAAAAAAAAAAAAAATCTAACTTTTAGTTTTTTTTTAGTGCTTATTTTCCAAGGAAAATGATAAAAAGGTGATAAGAAAAGAACCTGAACGTAAATGGTGTCTGGATGGGCAGTGGCTTTGAGGAGGTAATCAGTGGCCCAACGAATGGCTTCCTTGGCGTTCCCCAACTCGGATTTCATCAACCCACCAAACTCAATAACACTCCATGAAAGCATGGTGGTTGTGAAAGCCATGGGAAACCCAAACTTCACATTGTCCCCTGCGTCGTAGTACCCTCCGACCAAATTAACCTGCATTTTTTAAGCACCAAAACCAAAAGATAAACCTAAACCCATATCTACATTATCAGAAAAAGCCAGACAAACTATAAAAAAAACACACACACACACAAAATGTGGGTCATTTGCATGATTACATTCATGGCAGAGCCGTCGGAGAGGCCGGAGTCTCTCCTCCAAGTCATCCTCTGGTTAGAAGGGAGCTTCCCCGAGCGCTGACCTTCGAAGAAAATGATGGACTTGGCGAGGGCGTCTCGGTAGTTGTGACGGGCCAAGCGACGGTGGTGGCCGCGGTGGGAGAATGGGAAGCCATTGGAGAAGGAGACGAGGAAGAGGAGAGTGAAAAGGGAAAGGCCAAGAAGACTCTTACCACCAGCCATGGTGTTTTTTTTTTTTTTTTTTTTTTTTTGGTTTTTGGGTGGTTGTTTTGTTTTTCTGAAAAGTAATGCGAAAACCCAAAACCAAAAAACCAACCAACCAGCCTGCAAGGCTTTGCAGTGGGAGAAGCAGAGGAGACCAACGAACCTCTCCCAGTATTTATACAGGGAGAAAAAGCTGCTCCTTTTCCGTGTTGCTTGTTACGATCATAATTCCGCATCTTCCAATAGTGGCTTGCCCTTTAGTGTCATTAACCAAATTTTCTATTTTCAATGTTTATTTGCTTGGCTTTTTTTGATTAATTCTGTGATATTTTCCCGCTAATTTTTGTTTAGTCTCTAAGCAATAAGACAGTATTTTTTGTTTAAACATAATGTCAGATGTGAAATTAATATTATACTATACGTGCAAACATTAAATATGACATCATTTTGCCCTATTATGTATGTAACCATAAGAATCAAAACAAATTAAAAAAAAAAGTGTCATTTTAACATAATTTCATGAAAATTTAACTATTTAGAACTACGCTTGTCCCTGAATTTTTTTTTTTCTGTTCTACTACAAAATTCTCTCTTAAAAGTTAAAATCAGTAGTTCTTTCTTAATGCAAGCTTTTTGCAAAGGCTGGGAACTACCGGTAAAATAGATCATTGGATGACATTGAAATTATTTTGTTCTTAAATTTGACAAACATACATTATAAATGAGTAACGAGAAACTTTACAAAATTTAGGAATTACTGCTTTAGGAACGAAAACGTTATCTTATTATATTATATCAAGGAAGAGCCAAAGGATTGTATTTTGGTTCTTTCCCTTTTTTTTTTTTTCCTCTTATATTTATTGCTAAATGGATTGGACATATGGTAACTCATGAAGTTGCGTAATGTCAATTTTAGGGTCCCCCAGTAAGCATAAATGAAGGCATGTACGGGGGCATTAAAGACCCAAAGGAGACTTTATTTTCACATGGGAGTCTCATGCTCATTTAAAAGATCAATCGCCATTTTGGGCTCATGAAAGCTACGGACTGGGCGGTGATCTAATTTCTAGCAGCAACGAAAAGGAAAAATAATTAAAAAAATAAATAAATACATATATGTATGTATAAAAGGGTACTGTTTATTATTATTATTATTATTATTATTATTATTATTATTATTTTCTGTTGGCTAAAAAAAGCTACTGATCAGTAGTGACAGACACTTCTTGACTTTAAGATCAAATGCATATGCCTTCTAGGCCATAGGCATCACATGTAAAATGTTTCTACGCTCAACATTATTAAAGGTAGAGGAATTTCGTACGACAACTGAATCAAGATTTTTAGTTAGGGAAAATAAAACCCAAGATAAAGACGTTCACTTACAGACAGATCACTGATTTATGGTTTATATTATTATCATTTTTAACTCTGTCTTCAAAGGCGTATATATTGGGTTGATTAATTATTATATATCTTATTCCTCGTGTCTAGTACCATAAATACAAGTTTTACATACATTAGAAGATTTTTAATGTAGGATCTGAAAAAAAAAAATATATATATATATATATAAATCTTTGTTTTCTAATCTTGAAATTTTTATCCAAACCTATTTGTTTTCAATAATTTTTTTTTTATTTTAATGTAATTTTAATCAGATCTAATTATAAAATATGTACACCTTATGCATTAAGTTCGAATATTTGAAGTTATTTTAACGAACTGTACAACTATTACATACGCTCGGCTCCAATTACTTTGGAACTATAAGGTCGATCATTCAATGAGCTCTTTCTCATAGCTAGCTTGACTGCTGTCAGGTAAAGGTAAACAAACACTTGGTAGTGGGATTTTATGGGCTTGATACTCGGAACACTGAATTTCTGTCGGAGAAAGATGGTGAATATAAACGTGGGTTTGCTCGTGAAAATCTTTGAATTCACTGAGCGAGTCACAAAAGGGTCAATAAAGGCCCATTCAGATGATGTTGTAGAGATTTGGATTGAGCCAATTGAATACAGAAGAATAGACAAAGCTTATATTGTTCTTGCTCTCCTTCTGATCTCTAGTACACGTAACACCAATGATGAACCATGTCTGGACATTCGAGCTGTTTTCTTTTTTTTTAATTATTGTTTTTCATTTAAAGATCAAGGAAACGGTTCAATATAAACCTAACTGGTCAGAAGACAGAAAGTATAGGATAATGAGACACAAACTCAAGATGTCCCAATAATATTACATCGCCAATAAGCTATATATGTACGAGTTGCAAGTTTTTCTTGTGTTATAATGTCGTCGTTACAGAGGATTGTCTCTAATAGACCGTCCTATCAATAAGAACAATTTTCTAATCGTTAGATCTAGTTAAAATTAAATAAGATTAAAAAAGTATGCAGAATAAATAGTTTTTGATGCAGATTTAACGGTTGAAAACGGCTGAAAAAATAGAACTATCGGTAATTCTATTTTTCTAGTTCTATGAGAGAAATTCCGTTATATTTTTCATGACATTCTTCCACAGTGTACGAGTTGCAAGTTTTTCTTGTGTTATAATGTCGTCGTTACAGAGGAGACAATCCTATCAATAAGAACAGTTTTCTAATCGTTAGATCTAGTCAAAATTAAATAAGATTAAAAAAGTATGCAGAACAAATAGTTTCTGATGCAGATCTAACGGTTGAAAAAATAGAACTATCGGTAATTCTTTTTTTCTGGTTCTATGAGAGAAATTCCGTTATATTTTTCATGACATTCTTCCACGATTGAACGAACCTATAACATAATATAAATTCTATTATTGTACCATTTCTTAATATCTTGAGTTTTTAAGATGGATTTGTAACTAATATGATATCAGACTATATAATTTTGAGTTCAAATCCCTAAAATATTGTAATTTGTAAATTGTCACGCATGAATATGTTGTCTACTTTACATTTGTATTTGCATTCTCCCCTTCTTTGATTAGCCCATTCTTAATATTTTGTATAGTCTAGATTGGCATGTGAGCGGGAAGTATTAGATAATAAATATTAACAGTCTAAAATTTTTGGGATGGATCGATAACTATTGCCCATGACCTCATAATCTATAGCCCCTGAATAAAGATAAATTGGACTGTTAAAATTGTAATACGCGACCGCTAAACTACTACATCAGATTTAAGCATAGATGATAATGCTTGCTCAATATTCTTCTACTTTTTTTGGTAGCATTGTTTAAGAACTTTCTGGTTTTTCCTTGAAAGAGAGAGATGTTTTTAAACTAACAATCACTAATGAAGGACAGTGAAGCATGGATCAGTACCAATGAAAACTATCTGCACCAGTTACGAATACAATCTACATTTTAAAAGAATCTTCTGTAGCAGCAAGGTACATATATATGGATTAAACTTTGCCCACATTATCTATACTTTTGTGATTATTATTATTTTTCTTTTGGTGGGAAGTAGGAACTGCTGACAACTACAACTTTACCCACAATCTAGTAATGAAGTACAAAATATACGAATATAACTATAATACAATTATAAAATATAGTTTACCACACAACTTGCTACCTTAGCAAAACTTACCGAATTTGAGTCAGGAGCAGAAACTAAAAAAAAAAAAAAAGTTAACGCTCACTAAAGCCAAATTAGGCAGATGAAGAACAAAGAAGAGTACGGACAAAGAAGAGTACGGAGACGTTTGGTTCATGAATTAAAACTATTTTTGATTTATGTGTATTTTTTATGAGAAAAAATAATATAATGAATCACGAACAATAATTCGAATCAGAGAACGAATCTTCCAACCAAACGACCTTAACACAGCTAAAGAATGGGCACAACCATTGTTAGATCGGCTGGTAAAATTGAAAGAAAAATCCTTGTAACCTGCCACCAAAGAGAGAATATCTGAAATAATATTTTCGGGAGCAAGGGAGTTGCCGCCTCTAAGATCATCCACAACCTTTTTTGCATCAGACTCAATAATCAAACCCGAAATTCCTAACTCCTTAGCCAACAACACAGGTTCTCTAATAGCCAAAGCTTCACCAGTATAAGGAGAGAAGTCCCTCTTAATATTTTTTAGCCAAAACAACAATTACCACACCAGAATCATCTCTCAAAATACAACCAATACCACAAGTCTCTGAATTTGGAAAAATAGAAGCATCAAAATTAGCTTTTATAGCACCCCAGGGCGGTGGGGAACCAGCCAACACAACAGAGGTAGGAGGATCAAGCAACGCCACTTCCGAACAGACCGCAAGCTTCTGAAATTCCAACACAGCACACCTAGCAATGCTGACCACATTCTACGCATCACGAACATGAGCATTATGGACTAGATTATTTCTCTCAAACCAAAGGACCCAAGCCACATAACAAAAAATTTCGAAAATGCTCTTCGAATAAGACTTAAAAAACTGCAAACATACATTACCAAAGTGAGTTCCTCTAAAGTTCCTCATCATATGCTTCCCACAATCAGGTCTGTTAAAGATCTTCGCAATCGCGTCCTTAGTCTTGGCAATTCTCTTCCCAAGACTACCATACTTCAACAACGCTTGGTTTGGAGGTGGTTCATCGCTCTCGCCCTCAGATTTGATGGCTAAACTAGATGGGTATAGTGAGTTGGTGCGAGTTTGGGGCTGAGAAACTAGTGTTACTTGAGTCATATTAGGATGCGTCTGTTTGAAGGATTCTTTGGTTCGGCTGCCGTGTTTTTTTTTATAAAAAAATTTAAATTTTCAAAAGTTAGAATCTAAAGAGACATTTAGTAAGAAGATTTATATCATGATTTAAATTATGGTTCATAATTTGTTATAATGTTATCTCTTATAAAAAATATACGTAAATAAAAAATAATTTTAATCTCATGATTCTAATCCATGAACCAAACTTTTTCTAAATCACTGATTTAAATCCATAAATTAAATAAACACGATTCATGTATATCATAAATGCTGCTTTAGGACATTTTGAATTAGAGGAACATATTTTAAAAAAATTGATATTCGAATATATATATATATATATATATATTTTCAAAAACTTTAAAGATTTCTAATTTACACATAAAAAGGTTGTCTATGTGTAACTAGATTTCGAAATCGATACTTAAACTTGCACTAAGATTTCATTTTTTTCACCGATTCAAGTTTAGAATTTGAGTTTTATTACAGTAAAAAACTCTCAGAAACAGTCACGTCTAACTTTTTTACTACAGTAAAAAATTCTCACATAAAGTCACATATCAACTCAAATTAAAAACTCGAATTAGCAAATTAACGGACCCTAAAATTGACATGGCATTTTCTCCACACGACATCATCTTTTCTATGGCCGGCAATATGGGTCACGACTCGAAAACGACACGAATTTTACGGGTTAGGGTTGAGAAAAAAGAGGTTTGGGTCAGAATTGGGTCGACCTGAAATTGACACGAAAAACACGGGTCAATTTTGGGTTGGACCCGCATAACCCGAACACGACACGAAACTCGTAAAAAACTAAAAAATATATATATATTTTTCATTTCATATTTTAAATTTTATTATGAACTTGTGATATCATGATAGTTATACTCAAAATCTTATACTATTATTTACTTAATTTCAATGGATGTTATTGTAATTTAGTGGGTTATGAATTTTAAGTTATTTCTAATATGTAAAAAAGTAAATAAAAGTATATAATTTTCGTGTCAATTTCGGATTCACGAGTCAATTTCGTGTCACGGGTCATTTTCGGGTCGTATCGTGTCAACTCGTAAAGTGGTCATATCGTGTTCGTGTTGCGGTTTTTAAAAAATTTCGTCACGGGTCGTGTTCGGGTTAACTGTAAATTTTAAAAAATCGATCAAAACACGACACGTGACACAAATTGTCACCCCTAATCTTTTCCTCCAAGACGCTAACAAGATATTAAAAGAAATAAATATACAAAGAACAGATAAGGAACTTTAATGTGAATAATATGCGGTTAAAATGCTTATGGGGCTCATCATCCAAATTATGTAAATACATATTGCAAACTACCTTTTTTTTTTTTTTTTCATCTCCTGAAATCCTTTAGATGATTGGTCTAGTATGTATGACATAATGGGAACAGAATTATTTGATTGAGCTATGTAAACCTCAGCTTTAGTTAGCTGCTCAATAATAAAAAGGAGTAGAGAGGACCCAATAAGAAGAACTATAGAAGCGCCAAGACAAGGGGATGGGGAGACATTACTGCATTAAATCAGATGACAATCGACAAGCCTGTAAAAAATCATTATATATATATATATATATATAGATACACACACATATAATATAAAGACGGAAGAAATAATGAAAGGAGGGAATTTCAAAGATAAAACTTTTTTTTTTTTTTTTTTGGTGGGGGGTAGTGCGAAAAGAAATAGTGGCCCAGATTGGACCCAGAAAGCATGTTTCTTGAAAATGGCTTATTTTTAGCTTCATGTGCATCTCTGATACAATTGCACATGCAAACGCATTGGCATTCATGTTCGTCTCTTTTGTTTGCCTCTCTGTAAAAGAGGAAGGAAAGACAATAAACACGTCAAAGCTAAGAAATATTGCAAAAAGCTGACACCATAATTCCCATTGATATTAAAACTCAATTGAGGATCATTACAACTCTTATGAGATGGTTTTTGTACTTTGCTTTGTTATTGCCCGAATGAATTTACATTCTTCATGTGGTAGACACTAGAAAAGGGTTCACCTTAATTTTATATGGCGTTCTATAATTGGATCTTTAGAAGATTATGGGCATGCAATGATGAGTTTTAGGTCTCGTTTATTTTACTCGATCGAGTTAAAAATTTAATTAAAAAATGAATTTATGTGAAAGAGAATAATGTATTGTGTTTCTCAATTTCTTAGCTTAAATTTTGTCAAATGTGATCTTCTTTGCTTTTCTGTTTTGTTTTTGCGGGACAAATAAATCTATCTTTTAAAGAAAAAAAAAATTGCCATCAGGTCACTAATTTCGTCTATGCAGGCTCAAATCATGGATATGATATAATTGGCGTTGGATTGTTTTCCTTTTCTCTGCACGTCATTTTGTCAAAGTTCACCTTTCAAAAATTATATAAACAAATCAAACAAAAATGGGAAAACCATCACAATACAATTGGCAAAGTTCACGCCATTCAGGAAGAAATGTTATTAATTTTATGAAAAAGAAGAATTCCTACATTTGCAGGCATGTGCTACCAGTCTCATTATTTCAATTTCTCTTGCACTTCGAGCCTTTTTCTATTTTAAATTTATACGTCCGTGATTTTCGGATTGTTCAGAACTTGCCATCATTAATGGACCCTGGTCGTCTTAATGGGCATCCATCCCTTTATCAGGCCTGTCAATGACTTGGGCCTGATCTTAACTCCTTTTGGGCTCCTTACATTTGAATATCGGGTAGAAAAAGAAAAGGGAAATTTCATTTCACACCCCCTTCTTACCCCTAATTTTTTTTTTTTTTTTTTAGTACGATTAGGTTTTAAATGTTTAGTTTCACCATTAACACACCCGCGAGTTGCTGTAAGATCAAATCATCAACAAGTAAAAAAGGAAAAAATCATTGACGGATGAAGACCATCAATTTCAAATCTAAACACAAAACTTGAATGCATTTGTTTTTTCTTTTAAGGGAACTTGAATGCATTTTCAAATCCATCTACACTGCAACTAAATTCTTCTCTTTCAGTCCCGCATCAATTTGTCTTGTGTTTCTTTGTTGAGTTTTTCTTTTTCACTATTTCTATGAATAAACTCGTTTTGGGAGAATTACTATTATTCGCATCAAAAACATCATAAAAAAGTGGATAAAAGCAATGGAAGAGTGGGATGGAGAGTAATGTGAAATGAATGAATAAATAAAAGAGGACGAAAACAACCAGAGGGGACATGGGTTTAAAACTGAGGGAGAGAGTTTCTTGTTTGAAAGATTAGGAGAAAGAGGGTGAGAACTCTGCGAGTGAAAATTAAAAAAAAAAAAAAAAAAAAAGGAGTTTGTGAAGAAAATCTATTGGAAAAAGGGGTGCACTAGAGGTATTGAAAATGCTTCTTCTTCCTTTCTTTAAGGTGCCTTTTTTAGTTATTTTACTACTTCAGGGGTGTCTTTATATTTTTTAGGGGTGTAAATATAATTTTCTAAGAGAAAATTGCATAAGTATAAGTATGAATTTTTACTCATTATATTTGATTAGTACCCTTTTATTAATATAGTTATTTGACTGAAAAGGCTTTATGTAATGACCGAGAAAATTAAGATGTTAATTAGTGTAATTTACGTAATTAAATCATGAATTTTCCGGACAATGACATGTTTTGTAATGAATGATTTATGAAATTAATAATATTATTCTAAAATTCTATATAAAAATTTTTATATTATGACTCGGTCGATAATTCTCACCGCGATTTAAGACGGGAGAAATTTCGATTCGACTATGACTCGTATTTATGTTCATTAGAATTTTTTAGTACCGTACAATGTTAATAGTGCTCTGAAAAGCACTCTAACATTTAAAGAAGTCCTTAAGTATCAATTAATAAAATCAGTTCTGAGTAAAACCGTAAAGTCAGGCTCAGAAACCGACACCATTGATTATTACGTTTTACAGAGAAATTAAGTCAAGTATGTTAAAGTCATATTTTAGATTATTCTAAAACAAATTTTAAAGTTTTGAAACAATTCAAATTATTACGCAATTTAAAATCTAAAGCAGTGCCAATTCTCTCCAAAAATAGTGATAGATTGTGTTTTAAACAATGGACTAAAAACTGTCAGAAAACATTTATCCAAAAAATTGATCTAGAAACTACTGCCCGTACAAATTTAGTCTGTTAAAGGAATCTATTAGTAGGAGACAAAGATTTGACTAGAGTTGACCTTATTTGAAAAGAATTACAAGCCATGATTAAGAGCATCTTTCTCTCTCACTTTTTACTAAGTATGACCAGCCGTACTTATCATTTCTTAATCAAACTTTAGTCTATAAAACTGGATTAAGACGGTCCTAATTAGTGATAAGATAGTTTAGTCAATTGTCTATACATACCTACACTTAAAATTAAAGTTCATTTTCCTTCTCATTGTTTTCCTTTCATTTCTCTCATTTCACTTTTCTCTCTCTCTCTCTTTCCGTTGCCTTGGCCGTAACACCCCTCTACTATCACCCAAAAAGTTATTCAATTCTCTCATTCAAAACCTTAAACCAAATTAAAAAGAAGAAGATAGAACAAGGGTGGCCGTGAAGGTTTATCTTGTTGATTGCAAGGGTAAAATTCATGTTCTTACTTCATTTCTCTCTTTGATTTTTCTAAATTTCAAACTTTCCTTGAAAAGTTTAAATCTTTTAAGAATTTCTCACTTTGGTGGTCAAAATCATTTCTCTCTTAAAATTTGTAGTAAGATTCATCAAACTTAATTTGATTTTTTTCATTTTTAAGAGCAAAGTTTGTTTTTGTTTCAAGATTTAGATTTTTATGGTTAGATCTTTACATGCAATGGGTTTTGGTGTTAGACCTATGATTTTTAGTTTGTATTTTATGGTCTATGGTTGCTGTTTAAGGTGGTTAAAACTTGATCTAAGTCATGCATGTTCATTCCTCAAAGCTATATAGTGTTAATTTTTAAGTTGTCAAGTTTCAATTTTTGGTAAAAAACTTTCAGTACACTTTGCTTTAAAATTCGGAGCTGTTAGAGTCCAAATTAAGAAAAATGCTATTTCACTAAAGTTGTAGATCTCGATGTGCTGAAAATTTTTTCGTGACTGAGAAAAATCTCATTTCTACCTCTAAATGTGTTTTTAAATGTTTTTTCAAAACTGCCTAGAATTTTATAAAAACTATCTAAAGCTACTAATTTGAGTTAGTTTCTGTTTTTACTGTTTTTGGACCCATTAGACGGCAATTTCTAGATTTGTGAGACACGTGTCTTAAAGTTTTTGACGTTACGGATAAATCTCCACGATTGTGAAAAATCACAATTCTGAATTTAGGACGCATTTTTGGGTCATTTTCGCAAACTGCGCAAAATAATATTTGTGCAGCCAATAATTTTAAGATTTTGTGTCGTTCCGATACTGAATCTTGTTTTTTGCAAAATACAAAACTTTTAGATCGCAATGAGATGAAGAAACTTTGTAAAGGTAGATTTTGAGAATCCAACTCTATGGCGTAGTTAATTACAAATTAAGCAAAAATAGATTAAATTAACTGGTAAGATTAGAAACGGTTCCAATTTCTAACAAGGAATGTTTTCCAAAATGTTTGAATCCGAATTTTATAGGAATTGAAAGTTTTAGACATAATTTAATAAATGAGGCCAAACAGAAAATTTTAAACGGTTTACAAACTTATGGTTATTTTTAAAAAAATAATCACTAAGTGCGTCCCTGCACCAATTTCTAGTAACCGACAATATGACTAGCGGTAAAATATGATTTACTAAAAATTTTTAAAATAAGATCGGATTGAGAATTTCTATAAAAACACTAGATATAGGCCCAACACCCGTACTAGGCCTGTAATTTTTCGACCTAAGTCTCACACACTAATGTAAAGGAACGTTGTAGACATGTTGTAGACTAATGGGCCTTGATATAATTTTAGGCCCAAACTAAGAAAATATGAACCGGTAACTTAGATATAGACCATGGTTTAGATGGCCAGTTAAAAGACTAAGTTATCAATCTAGGACTGAATAAGCAAAGGCAATTAAAGAAAATTAAATGATAAAGATTTATTTAAAATAATCTTTGTACTATGTAAGAAGTCAAATAATCTTTCCTAAAAAGGAAATATTTCTTAAGAATAGGAATAAATTCCTAAGTAGACTAAGCTAACTAGACTAGCTTATATTAAGTTAAACTCACACTATCAGTGGGTTTTCTTTACAAAACACAATAGTAGAGGTTAACCTCAGAGAGTAATATAGTCCCGACCTTGATTGATAGTAAGTAAGTAGGAATCTCGCCTATAGTATAAATAAGTTTAAAATCAGAATGTTATACATGTTTTATATGCATGTTTATGCTTAAAGTTATAGTATGCTATGCCATAACATATTGCATGCTCACTAATAAGATCAATATGACTAATGAGAACATTTAAGAGTGTCGTACCAACTACTCGACTTACAAGGTGGATTTAAGGCCTGAGGAGGCAATCATTCAGTATCTGAGTAGGTAAAATTTTCAATTAGGGTCACGGTGTAGTTGGAGACCTTACAAATCCTTTCTACTCGCTGATCGTGCGCATACTTTACGGTACGAACACTCAGGCCTAAAAGATTAATAAAACAAGTTTATAAAAGAGCATAATTGATGCATGCATTACAAATATACTTTAAGTACTTTGTTTTAATTAGCGAGACTTAGTTCCTACTTACTGAGTATAAACTCACCCCTAGGATGTATTTATATTGTTGGAAAACAACCGATGAAAGGTGAATGATGGGTTGTGCTCAGTGGCAGACGAGGAATGTAGAGAATGAGAAATGGATACCGCTCGCATTTTAATTTCGTTATATGTTTTGTTATGATAAAGACTTCTTAATTATATGTATGCAGTATGGCTTTAAGAAGACTGAGACTTCTTATATAATTTAAAAACTAATATAAGTTAATTAATATTAAAGTTTAGTTTATTTCCTTTGTTATATATGATATATAAAAAAAATTCCGCATATTCAGTTTAATTAATTCAAGTATTTTAAGCGATTACATGTTTAGTGAGTTTAAGTGACGGCTACTTGCTAGGGTCGTCACACTTTAATCAAGAGTAAGTGGTAAAATCAAGACCCATGCGCTTTTAATAGGTGTTTGTTAAGATTTTTCTATGAGAAAAAGGAGAATTTGAGTTTTAATTTTTACTTTTTACTCTTAATTAATACATTTTTAATATTTATAATATTAGTCAAAAGGTAATCAAGACTAAAGAGTAAAAGTTTAGACCTATGTACTTCTAATGGTAAGTTTAGTAATTTTCTCTTTAAAAATAGATGTCAACATCCCAACTTTAAGCAGAGATAATACAATATTATTATTAAAAATAGACGTTAGCCCGGCATGATTATTAATTAGATAGGGCTTGACGTACCTTTAAAACACAAAGGATGCTAAATATTCAACACGATCACGAGCACGGACACAAACATGGACATGAAAAGCGGCATGACTTGTTGCTATTTTATTAGTGACCATTCAAGTATCAATTTAGAGATAAGTCTCACTCATCTTTCTAATGTGGTTTAATTTATCGACCAGATGCTATAAAGGGGATGAACAAGACAACCTTGGATGGATGTAGAAAAGACACATCGAAATCTACACCAAACAAGATTTCCTTGGGAGCAAATTGTACATAGTTTGTTTTTGATAATTTGCTCTGTTGCTTATAAATTATATTGTTTATATATATATATATATATATATATATATATAAGTGAGCTTCTTCGAGAGCTAGAAAGGGGTTGCTCTGAGAAAGCATGGGTTTCAACCGTGATGAAGCCAGAAATTTTGATGAGAAAGGATTAATAATTATAATAAGAATTTAAAAGGTATAAAATTGTAATTTTAATTTTTTAGAGGGGGCTTTATTCAAAATTTTAAAGATATTTTTATGTAAATATAGAGAAAAAAAGTTGAGGGGGGCTTGAGCCCCCTAGTCATAACATTAGCTACGTTCTTGGGTTCCAAGTGTGTTTATTTTTACTTTTTTTTTTTTTTTTGGTTGCTGATGCCTTAATGTACGTGTCTCCAACTCCTTCAAATTAAGGTACGCAACAAAATCTCCAATTTTGATTTCAGATGGAAGACGATAAAAAGCGCAGACTTCTACCGAGTCAATTTTAACGAGCATAAGATGATCAAGGCCTTTTTTTACAATCTTTACCAATTAATCAGTTGAAGAAAGAGTTAGCTCTATGAAGAAGTAACCACATCTCACTCTCATTCTCTTCTGCCACAATATTTGTCATTGATTCTGTTTCTAGTTTTTTCCCTGTTTGAAGCCTTAGCTCTGTTGTGTAGATCAATCATATTATAAATATTTCATCTTTTTTGACCAACAATCGCTTTCCAAAACCAGAACTTTTCTTCTAGCTGGATAACAAATGTCATTCCATCACAATTAGTTCACAATCTACTCCATTAAAATTATTTAATAATCATTCAATCGCATAATATAACACCTTTGGTAGCTATATCTTCCACCAATATTAATTCCCCCCACATGCCTTGCTAGTATTTGCAAAGCAATGTACTATAAGAACTATATATATCTCAAATCAAATCAAGTAAAAAAAAAAGGCTTCCTCTAGGAGTATTTATAATAATAGTAGTAATTAGCTAATTAATAACTAGTAGTTCATCCCAAATTAGCAAAATAAGGAACCTGAGTAGAATTCAGCCACTCACCCCCTTGTATAAACGCATCCACAGAAAACCGACTAGCCTCAACCGAGCTATTGATGACCCGATAACCCGGCCACGTCACCCGGGCACTCGTGTTCGACCCGGGCCCATGGTTCATGTACTCTCCATAATACAGAGTCGTCAACGCAAACGTGGCATTCCATTCCAACCACCCGGCGGGGTCCACCAAATCGTCAATGTACGACTTCATGAAGACCGTACGTGAGTATTCCTTCCAGGGACGGCCGAGATACGTCTTGAAGGAGGACTTCACGGGGGACAAGTCCGAAGCGGCCGTTACCTTACAGTTAAGGATGGAAATGCCGGTGTTTTGGTTGGGATCTTCGCGGCCTTGGGCGGTGAAGATGTTGTGCTGGTTGGGGTTGGGGCGGCGGGCGTAGAAGTTGCAGTTCTGTAAGACCACGGCGGCGTTGCCGAAGATGAAGTCGATGGTGCCGTAGACGTCGCATTCGCGGTAGAACTGGCGGAGGGAGTGGGCGTATAGCGTGTCCTGGTAGCCGATGAAGCTGCATTTGTAGAAGGTCGAGAGGTCGGAGCCGCTCCGGAGCGCCACCGCCTGGTGCTTGCTCGGCCCGGCTGAGTTTTCGAAGGTTATGCCCTTCGCAATGAAGCCGTTCCCCACCACGGCTGTGCACGCATGCAGGATAATATGACCAACAATTTGGTGCAAGTTAATGTATATTAGATAGAAGTTACTTACAACAAGACCTTTTTGTTTTTGTGAATTAAAAGAAGAATACTAATATTTTTTTTATTAGTACTTAAAAAGTAATTATCACGCCTATAAATGATGGAACTTTGTGATAAGATGCAATACTTCTTTCAGACATGACCAGATACCTCAAAAAAGAACACAAGCATTTTACTTTCTCACATTAACGTGTTTATAAATTTAAAAGGTATGTTTTTAACTAATTTAATCCCTATAGTCAATTTAATGTTAACGCCAAGTTATAAAAAATTCTTTTTCACAACTCAAACATTTTTACATAAGAGAAAATACTACAATAAAAAAATTAAATTTAAATTTTTATAAAAAAAAAACTGTAGTGAAGAAATTTGAGTTATAAAAAGAATAAGAAGACGCTAAAGTGAAAATAATATATATCTTTTAATTGACGTATGCGGATTTTTTAATGATGTTAGACTATCAAGATTACATTATGGTTGCCTTTTGTTCATGCAAAAGCGGTGGCACGCTGCAAGTATTTTCTCAGGGAAAAATTATGATTGCACTGGCATATGGAACATTACTTAGGAGACGTTTGGTTCATATATTAGAATCATGTGATTAGAATTATTTTCAATTTACGTGTATTTTTTGTGAGAGAAAATACTATAATGAACCATGAACTATAATTCAAATTATGGTTTAAATCCTTCAACTAAACGTCCATTTAGTTCTCTGTTGTGCCGGCCTTTCTAGCCCCTACAATATGATTCCTAATTTCCTATAGTTTATAAAAAAAAACGTTTACATCAAGAGAGTTGGCGGATTGAAATGCCTCATCAGTAATTGATCTACGTTGTGAATAAAACTACTATCGTTCTACAAAAAAATTTACAGTTAATAAACCTTTTTAGTAGCGACAATAATATTATTGCTTGTTTCCATCACTTTCAGACATGTCGATTTCTAGAGTCAACCAAGTAGACTGGCGATATTGGTGTGATGTTTACCTAATGTCAAGAATATATACATAGCTAAGCTTCTACAAACAAATATTTATTCAAAATTCCCTCCTGTTTGGCTGCATTTTGCATATACTCTACATTATTTTTGTTGTCCAAAACAAAGAGGGTCAGTCAGGGCAATATGCTAGAATGACTATCCAACAAAATAAAATTAATAAAATGACCTTCTTCTATTTTTTATAAAAAAAGACACTTAATCATTCTTTATAAAAAGAGGTCATTTTATAAATACAAATTTTTAAAAAATTATTTTATTAATAAAACTTTTCTATTGAGTTATTTTTACAAAAGCCTCTTCAGGTCACTGCAGTTTATAGCATTCCACCAGCCCCAAAAATAATTCTTTAAATTGAAAGTTATTAAAACTATGGCGGCACATAGTACGGAACAAATATCATTTTGGGCTCACCTATCATGTGCGGGAAAATGTTACTTTTTATTTTATTTCTTTACTTGGAGAACAATATTTCTGGATCTTTACTTTTTCATTATCTCCCAAAAGACATCTCTACATATATAAAAAGCGTGAATGAGTTTTGCTTAGTTTGGTTGTCACATATCGGAACTTCGTTTTTTTCTTTTTTTTTTTTTTTTTTTTTTTTTTTTTTTTTTTTTTTTTTTTTTGCGTTTGCTTTTCTTATTTTTATTTTTTAGTTCTCAATCATTTGTTATTTCCATGCTTGTCTTTTACTTAAGTTTCTTCTCATTTTCGAACTTTTTTCACATATATTCTTAAATCCACTTCGTTAAACTATGTTTTTCTACTCTAATTTCTCAGATAAATATATTTTTTTATGAATATGTACCCTTACTCATGTAGTTTTCTTACAATCCTTTATATATATATATATATATATATTTTAAGTTACATGAGTTTAACTAATTTTTTTCTTTCTTTTTACTCTACTAAAATATCTTTTTTTGAATATACCCTTAAGCAAAGATTTTTCTTCTTCTCATAGATCACCAACAACATATAAATAATTCTCTACAATTTTTCTAAAGAAAATGCTGTTTTAATCTATAATTTTGTCATGTTATTTAACTATTGTATAAGATGTTAC